CCCCGCGTCTCTCTCCCAAGAGCAACATCAGCAGAAGAATCGGGCAGACTGCAGGGCCAGCAGGTTGCACAGGAGATGCAGAGTAGCTCTCGAAGATACAGAGGAGGTGCAGAGGTACAGCTTCCCAGGTGAGGCTGGCCTGTGCTCCATCAGCCAGGACACCAGAGATGCCCGTGCTGAGTACTTGGCCTCCCCAGACCAGGCCACCCTTCCCCCACCACAGACTGTCCCTCTGTGGTCTGCGTGCCAGGACCGGTCTCTAATTCCGAAACATCTGTTGGGCACATACCTGACTGCAGAGCCTCCTGAGAGATACCTGAAGGATGGAGACAGAAGGATTAAGGGAGCTGCCCATGGGAGTGACTCTGGTCCTGTGGGCCTAAGCATTGTCCCCACAATGTCCCAGGGTGGCCCTAAGGTGAATGTTCCTGCCCTGAGCAGCTAAAGCTAGGGTCTAGCCGGATAGGTGGGGCCTAGCCAGGTGGAAGTGGCCTGGCCAGCTGCCATCCTAAGCCCAGGGTAGAGTGGGACCAGCCATGGGCCATAAACAACAGCTGGGAGGGACTCAGTACTGCCCCAGCCTTGCCCCTCACAACCTCTAGGTCCTCCTGAGGAGGGTCTCACCAGGGTCTGGGCCTATGGGTGTCCCCCACATCCACACTAAAAGCCACTGTCCCCAGCAATGATGGCCAAGCTACCCAGCTGAGGGGCCCAGGCAGAGCAGAGGCCCATCATGAAGAACTTGCTTTTTGCTCCCCCTAAGCTCAAACTTCAAAGCACCCAGATCCCTCCACAGGGCTCCCAATGCTCTCAGAGCTCCAGCTGATGGAACATAAGGTGGATCCAGGGGAAGGGCCTGGGAGGAAGCAGGCCCACTCCCACCCCAGAGCAGGATACAAATACAAATACTCCAAGCCAGCTCACTCACCAGGAACAGCCAGAAGCAGTAGGAGGCCACGGGGCCCCAGAGCCATGGTGTCTGCCCACAGCAGAGACAGGACCCCCCCTCCCCCTGCCCACCCAGGACCTGCCAGCATGGGGTGGGGTAGGAATGGCCTCACCCCTGCTGCAGGTCTGGAGGGAGGAGGATACAGGCTCCCCACCTGATCCTGTTGCACACCACAGGGAGGAGCTGTCATCTGCCTTTGTCTCACACAAAGGCTACACCCAGCCTTGGCAGCAAGGGCAGAGTTCAAGGACATGGAAAATAACAGGAACAGAATGGGGCTCAGCTGTCCCCACTACAGCCCGGGCGGGCTTCTCTTCCCCCAGTGTGGAGAGGAGGCCTTGCAGCCTTGGTTCTCAGGGCATGCTTCTCCCATTCTCCAGATCCTCAGCCTCCAAGGCTCCTCAGAGAGGCCCAGCCCTCTAGGGTGGCACATCCTCCTCTGTGTCCCTGTTCTCATATCCAGCCTGGAGTCTCCTGACCCCACCCCAGGTAAACAGAATCAGAACCCTGTGCAGGGCTTCTGGTCTATCTGGAGCCTAATGGTCAGCTGACCCAGGGGTGCGGCCAGAGTCAGGAACTTCTCCCAGCTCCAAATCACAGGCCAGGGTTGGAGGGTCTCCCTGATACTTTTTAGGTAAGGAGTCCCCAATTGGATGTAGAGAAACTGGCTGTAGAGGGTGGCTCATTCCTTCTTCGGGATGTGTGACATCACAGGGCAAATTGTGCGTGCTTCGTGCCCACCTGTCCTGCGGCTCAAGAGAGCATGCTCAATGTTTGACCTAGTGTCAAAGAAGCATGCTCTCAGCCCACCCCGTGTGACTGGCCTCCCTCGGGGAGCTGCATACCTCAGAGGGGACTGTTGAGAACATAGGACCTGCCTGCCAGTTCATCCCAACATAGGGCAGGCAGTGGAGGGAAGGGAACCACGTGTTCTTAGGGCTATCCCAGCCAACCCAAGGAGCCTGGTGTCACTCAGGTTTTCACAGAATCAGATCCTGAGTCTTGACCCTCTGAACTATCCCCAGGTCCCCACAGGAGAGGACTCCAGGACCCTTACCTGTCCCACCTCCTTTTGCTTTTGGTATCTCCCCACCTGCATACAACCCTGTTCCCCGGCTCCCTGAACACTCACTCCAGGTCTGCTATCCAGACTAAAGCTCCATCCATGCAAGACAGGAGTGAGTGAGTTCTGTTTCCACCTGGCAGAAAAGCAAAGGGACAGGCAGCCTGGCCCTAGAGACACTCCACACACTCACACACACACACACACACACAGAGAGAGAGAGAGAGAGAGAGAGAGAGAGAGAGAGAGAGAGAGAGAGAGAGAGTCAGAATCTCCCATAACTGAGCCAGAGCTGAGAGCTACATCTGTCTAAAGTACCTGCTCAGCTGGGTGATGGCCTCTGGCTGAGACAGAGGGTTCAGGCCTTGCCCTGAAAGCTCTCAGGCCTGACCCCTGTAGCCCATGGCCGGAGGTGAAGCCAGTGATCAGTTTTATCTGTCAACTGACTCCGAGCTGAGCAGAGCTGCTCTGCCAGGGTCAGATAAGGAGAAAGCCCATCAGGAGGCTAGGCTGCTCTCCCCTCCCACCCTTCCTCCTCACCCCTTGCCTGGCCCTAGATGCTTCTCACTAGAATCCTGGTCCATCTCCGACTCTGCATGGCCTCCACTGAAGGATGGCTAAAAGCACTTATCAGACAGAGTGTCATCACCTACCAGGCAGGATCCACAGTGACCCTGAGAGAGTGAGATGGGTGGCATGGAGGAACAAGGGACCGAGTTCCAGCTTTACCTTTTATTTTTGTGGTGGATGTGTATTATGTTTGACATTAAAAATTAAAACTAAGCAGATGGCCAGAGAGATGGCTCAGCAGTTAAGAGTGTCACACACACACACACATACACACACACACACACACACACACACACCAGCACCACCACCAAAAGATGGTACCAAGCACTGGATGAGACAACTGACTTCATTTCCCCATCAAGGATGAGGGCTCTATCCAAGCAAGGGAACGGTCAGCCCTCAGCAGTAATTGTAAAGTCGTGGATGTCACCCGACACCAGATGTTACCTCCAATACAGAAGCTGAATCAAGACAAGGGGGGCAAAGGGGCAGCATTGCTGCATATGATTGTGAAACATAAGTGACATTCCAACAGGGAATGGCTGCTCCAGTGAGGCCCACTCTCCAGCCAACAGCTCCCTTCAGCTGAATGTTCCAGAAACAGGCATTTGTGTGAGTAAGAATAGCCATGAACACCCAAATCCCAAGAGCCTCAACTGAGAGCCCCTCAAAGTAAAGTCCACTCTAACAGCCAGATGTGCCACTGCATGAATTTTTTTGTTTTTGTTTTTGTTTTTCGAGACAGGGTTTCTCTGTATAGTTTTGGTATCTTACTGTCCTGGATCTCACTCTGTAGACCAGGCTGGCCTCGATTCGCCTGGCTCTGCCTCCCGAGTGCTGGGATTAAAGGCGGGTTCCACATCAGGCGAAATTATTTTTGAGCTTTATTCTTTTAGGATGGGGTCTCACATATCCCAGGCTGGCCTCAAACTCAATTTGAAGACAAGGATGACCTTGAATTCTTGGTCTGCTCCCACCTCTCCAGTGCCAGGATTGCAGGGGTGTACTACCACACTTGCTTATATTGATGGTGGAGATCGAAGCCAAGGTTCCCTGCCTGCTAGTCAAATACCACCAACTGAGTTACACCCCTAGGCCCCACCACGTGGGATTCTGGGCAGCAGAGGCAGTAATGACGTGGACTCTATGCAGAGTGTGATGAGAAGGCAGGATGGCAAGGAGTTCCTATCAGGGCGGTCACGGAGCCGTCAATGAGGCAAAGGAGATGTCTTTTGCCACTGCAGGGTGAAGATGGCTGAGCAATACCTGCAGAGGGTGGGGGTGCACTGGCCATGCTTTATC